AACAATTGGTTTCTTCATAATCAAGTACCACGATTATTAAACGACAACAACAGCACCAGAATCCGAAACCCTTTATGCAATATAAAGGTTGTGTCTGTCAAAAACACGAGCTTCTTTCTTCTTCCCTCACAAGTGGGTTGTTGTGTGTGATCATACGAAGATACAGACATACACAGATGCAGCGAACAGCATAAAGAAGAAGAGAAAGTGATAATCACACACAATATGACCATGGATCGGCTTTCTCAGAGCAGTTCAGACTCACCTAACAGAGACACCAAAGTATTATCCATAGAGTGTTTGAAGGGAAGTTCCAAAGCCGACGAGTGGACCGGTGACATGCTTCAAACCGGTGACATCGTCGAAGAGCTTCGAATCGGAGACTCCCCCAACGCCCTTATCCGCTTCAAATCGCCCTTCAAAAACGGCAAAACCGCCGTCAACAAAATCCTCCAAGACTCTTACAAGAAGAAAGAAACCTCAATCCTCGTTCGAGTTCGACGTGGACCCAACGACTTCGCCGAGTTGCAGGCCTGTATCGTTCCCAATGATTCCTCCGGGAAGAAGCAGTACGTTCTCCGTTCCATCACCGACCCTAACTACGTCGTTGGCTTCCTTGATCGAACCGAATCCGAGTGTTTCCAACTCCAAGGTACCCTTTTCGTTCACCTTTTTCATCATGTTTTTTTCTCTCCTTCTCTTAGTTATTCACATGCTCCGAGATTGAGTTCGGTTAATCCTAAGTTGTTTTTCGGTTAATGCTGAAAATTCCCACAGTTGAGCGCACGGTTCCCTGTAAATTTCACTAACTAAAACTGCAATTTTTAAAAAATGGAATGAATGGAAAATTAAGTTAGGTGTTTGTTCCCAGGTTCAATTGAATGGATGATGAAGAATGGGTAGATGGGTTCATTTATTCGTGTACTGTGTTCTGGTAGCGATGGATTTATTATTTAATGTATTAAGGACAAAAAAATGATAGGAGAGAGAAGGTGGACGGTGTTACTGTCATATTCCGTTAATGCCGGCAGTCACTCATGGTAAAAATTTGGGTCTGGTGGTAAGAAGTTGGTATCTTTACGTAGAGAAACGAAAACTGATCAATATTTACTACTGTTTACAATTTGGCACCAATGTAAGTGGCAACTCTAGCCACTTTGATCACACAGATCTATGCCTTTTGGCTTTTGTATTAACTGCGTTTTGGAAGGACATGTTCGGTGGAGTGAATATCCATTTAAGATATTTGAGGCATTGACTTTTAATCTGAAAGCTACAACTTTTGCTAGATTTAGGCACCAAGTTGCGTGACAGACATAACGTCCTTCTGTCAATGATATCGCCATTATTATCATTTTCGTTATAGATCATTTTAAAACCCGGATTTTTCACATGTAGAACCAGTTTAAAGAGATGAGTAAAAAAAAGCTGTGTTTATTGTTGTTGACGGCTGTAATACGGAATAATAGAAAATGCAGATTTCATTCTGATATATGTCTTCATCCAATCTGTTGACATAAATAATTGCACTTTGCAGCTTCGAGGAACACCAGAATGGTAAATGCACTGACCAGGACACGGTTACAAGATGGATATGTTTCGTATCCATGGGAGAGGAAGATGCAGGAGTTGCTGCCAGTTCCCACTTCTAGCAATTTTCTTTCCATATTACTTCTTCCCAAAGTTTCAGATCGAATAGCTTTTCGCTACAACGATGTAGAAGACACGCTAGCCAGGGCAAATACGTGGTTGAATGCAGCTCAGGCCTCAGGGGTGCCTATTGTCTTTATGAACGTCCAAACCGAGTCCCTACTTACTAAGGTAAACGATGAATTCCCTCGTTGCAACAGTGTACATTCTGTTGTGGTATAGTAACTGTTGTTTCTCTGATTTGTGTGACAGATATCTGGAGAGACAGCTTCTTCCACTGTAAATGCAGGGTCATTATCTGACTTGTCTAACCTTGCAAATGTAAGTCTTTATGGCTTTGAGGATTATCACGGAGTAGACATTGGTGTCGTTAGAGCAGTTCGGCTCTGGTATGCTCCAATTGGAGGAGAGTTCACAGTTGAGATTAAACTAAAAGAGGATGACACAAAGCTTGGCTTTGGCATTAGTCGAACAGAAGAGGTATCTCTCTTTTGATAAATATACCAAGAGCTCATACAGTCAAACAGATTGATAACAATACTTTTCTATGTGATCAACAGGGTTTTATTTTCATCTCAACAGTTACTGATGAGGGCCAAGAAAATGTACCTGCCACGCGTTCAGGACTGAGCAATCTGTACAAAGCAGCAACAGATGCATCGAGGTTGCTGGTAGTGTCTAGGATTTCAAATCAGAGAGTCCTTCCATGGATGGTATCTTCAACAGGAGCCATCAGGTGTTATGACACTGTTTCCTTGAGCCAGAAACTCTCCTTGCATAGACACACCAAAGTTCCTATTCTCCTTCACGTCTTCCTTTGGGACGGAGCATTGGCCTCATCAAGTGTAGCAAGTACAAGATTGAGTAACATGTCTACCTCAGTGTTGCGCCGTCCAAATGAAAACCAAATTTCTGATGCAGGTGGCGGTGTCAGTGCTGATGGATCCCTCTCAATGCAGCTTGGGAGAGACACAGTTGGGGATCTCTCATTCAGATTCAGTAACTTCTCCACTTTCAACAACTGCGTATGAAATTAACGCATTATAACATCATAGGAACTTTTTCCATGTTGTTTCTATTATGAGCCTCTTTTACCTGTTGTACATAGACAATGATACACACTGTTGCTTCTATATTCAGGGCTTTTGTAGATTTGAGAGCTTGTTTTTGCTTCATTAGTTTGTTCACAGAAACAATTAAAGAATCTAGAATTGGTAGTTGAAATGACGAGCTTTGTTTTTGTCTTTCATATGAATATGTGACTGCTTACTAAACACGTAAAAACCAAGGAATTTCTTCACTTAGCTGCTAACTAATTACACTCGTAGTGATTACCACATAAATACGTAGGAATTTCCAAAACAAGCAACCAATTAATAAAGAAAATAGAGGATTGGTCTGACGGCGCCTACCTACAACATGTGTAGTGTACTCATTGAGATAAGTCATATAGTGTGGCAATATATATGTGAGTGTGAGTTTATGGTTGTCAATTGTTATCGTCTTAGCTTGCAATACTTTCTTTGGAGGTTTATTATTGTTCTTACTATTTTTTATTTAAGTTATTATTATTATTATTATTATTAGTAGTAGTAGTAATAGTAATAGTAATAGGAGTAGTAGTAGAATGACAAATGCTAACAAAGGTCATGAGAAAGTATTATCCAAGGATAAACGACACAAACAAAGATTGATTAAAAGTGTTTTTCATGTATATATCACACCCCGATTTTATCCTCACGATGATAGGTATTTTCGGGTTGAAGGGTATGATTTTTGACAAATATATTACTCAATCCGCAAAAAAAATATTAGATTGGTTGAGTTTCTACAATTTTTTTTAATGTTAAATCCAATATACTTTGGAGTAAGTGTTAGATTGATTTGGATTAATTTGAAGTTATTTTTTTAATTGTATTTTTTAACTATTAATGTAATTAAAGATTAATACAATTTTTACAAAAAAATAATTCAAGACCTCAAATGAATTAATTAATAAAATCACAGTAATTTTCTCCAACTTAATTTTAAAAAAATCATAATACAAATTGTTAATAACACGGATATAAAAATGAATGTTAGATCATTTAGACTAAACCCATCTCCCAATTTATATTCATATAAATAAAGTCGAATTGAATGTAATTAGATTATATTAAATTCAAATTAAATCATCAAACAACCTAACCCAGTGAATATTAGTAAGTAACACTCTAAGGTAGATTCTCTTACGATCATTTATCAAAAAGGACAATTTGAAATATATCAAACAAGCATTTTTCCCCACTGAACTATTGAAAAATAGATCTACGTATACTTGAATTTCTTAAAAATCAACACAGAAAATACATAGCAAAATTTAAAAACAGTAATTGCATGCTCAACATTTTATAATATTATCACGAAATTTGAACGCAACGCACTGTAATTAACTTAATATGACATTATATCCTGTCTAAGCATGAATAATAATATTTTAGATTAAAGTTGAATAGATATTTTAGTAAAAACAGCATATATTTTACATGAAAAACCACTGTATTTGAGATGGATAGACCAAAGAAGGGTAAGCTAACAAATAATCTGTCAAAAATAAGCAATACGTCCACTTATATATGCATATATTCTCTTATCCACAAATGCTCCTGTCTGTAGATTGAACTTTTATCCCACATATTCATCTATAACTAATTTTATAATTATTAATGTAAATTTAATTTTTTTTACAATTTTTTTATCATAGATAGTTATTTTTGTTTAAAAGTAATTAAATTTAAAAATAAACTCAATTAAAAAATAACATTATTATTTTGATTTAAAGAAATACTTAAAGATAAAATTAGAAATAAAACATATCTTTTAAATACTCTTAAAAAAGCATTATTCTAAATTGATCTGGTAGACCACAAATTAACTTTTTTATTTTATTTTTCCTAAGATAAATAAATATAAATAAAAATTTAATAAAAAATATTTAAATAGATCTGTATCTATTATACTTTAACTGCTTCATATTTTATTTTTTAATTATAATTCACACCCAAAGATATAAATTGTATTTCGGCTCATAAGGGAGAAAATACATGAATTGAAGTCAATTATAAAAGGAAAAAGAAAAGCTCATAAGAAAAGCTAAAATAATAAGACGTGGCATGTAACCATTGGCTGTTAAGGAGTGTCGCGGATCACTATCCGTGCCATTGATTGAGGAAGTACCACATCCGTCGATTCCCAGCCTCATAATTTAGCATCTTCCCGGTCATATCGAAATTTCGCAAACTTAAAATAACATTACAAAGATTCCCGCTCAACCATTTTCACGGTGCCCTATAAATACTCTAATCTCCCTCACCCAAATTCACAAGTTCTCTTTTTCCCTCGCTCTATCTAATACATCTCTATTTCTCTCCGTGCTTGAAATGGCTCGTACCAAGCAAACTGCAAGGAAGTCCACCGGAGGAAAGGCTCCAAGGAAGCAGCTAGCAACAAAGGCTGCTCGTAAGTCTGCTCCGGCCACTGGTGGTGTGAAGAAGCCTCACCGTTTCAGGCCCGGTACGGTGGCTCTGAGAGAGATCCGCAAGTATCAGAAGAGCACTGAGCTTCTCATCAGGAAGCTTCCATTCCAGAGGCTGGTTAGGGAAATTGCTCAGGATTTTAAGACTGATCTCCGTTTTCAGAGCAGTGCTGTATCCGCTCTGCAGGAAGCCGCTGAGGCCTACCTTGTTGGGCTGTTTGAGGATACCAATCTCTGCGCCATTCATGCCAAGAGAGTTACTATAATGCCTAAGGACATTCAGCTTGCACGTAGAATTAGGGGTGAAAGGGCTTAGGGTTTATTTGAATTATGTATAAAGCTTTTGCTTTTGTAGCAGTGTTGGACTTAATCAGATGCTTATTGTTATTTGTAGTGTGAAACTTCTTGTTTCATTGTGACTTAATTATGCCAAAAGTATTATGTTAAATCTTACTTGTTTACATATGTTTAATTATCTTTTCTGCTATTTTAGGTTTTCTATTAAATTTAAGGTCTGAAATATTGTTTGATTTTAAAATTAATTGTAGTTGTCATCTAAAATTTTTTGCCTAGGTTTCTTTCTAATTGCATAATGTGGGTAAAATAAAATGAAATGCTGTCTAATAATTTATTGTTATGATTATGTTTACAGTAAAATGTTGTTTTCGTTCATGGACCGTGCTAGTTTGTTGGGCCCGATTCGTTTCATTTATTTTTGAGCCCAATTATTTTTGGCGGGAAGGAGTGGCGGAAAATTTTCGTTTTGCCGTTGATTTTTATACTAATACTAAAAATGCGTCTTCTTAGCGAAAGAAGCCCGGGAAAATGGAGAAGTACTTGGTTTCGCGTAAACCCCCGATTGAAAGTGTTCGGTCACTTCCAAGGTAAATTTGTCCCCTGTTTATCCTTTCTCGTTCAGTAGATATTTGAGAGTTCTTAGTGATTAAAAATGTTAAAAGAAGGCTGTGGAAGAGGAGTTCGGTGGAACTTAATGGGAGATTTGAGCGTAACTATCGTCATGAGATGTTGGATCTGCTAATTCGATCGTATTCTGAGGTGTGTCTGGCTTTTCTCGGTCATTAGGTATTTGGCTGTGCTCTTTTTTTTTGTGTGCACTGTGTTGTTTAAACTGTGGTTAATTTTTGTAAAGGTTGCAGTGTTTCCGCATCTGTATCAAGTGGATGGTTTGCCATGCCAGTCTCATGTATGCACTGATAACTTTGCTTATTGGTCATATGACTCCACTTCGGTGATTTAATTCAATGCAAAAATTTTTGGGCATGTACAGACAAATCGACTGGTTGGTGAGGCAAATGGTGATGGCCATCTCCCACTTAGAAAGTTAGTATTCTGGCTTCTTTGATTTTTATGTCACGAATGAAGATATTAACAATTATTTTAATTATTATAGTTGAGAGAATATATGAATTAAAAAAATTATTATAATCATTAATGTGTCAGAGTTTGTTCTATCTATCTATATATATATGCATGTGTGCCCTCTTGTACTGATTTAGAATGACTTAATTAAATTTTAGATCTTTTTTTCTTCTGAAATGTATTTTTTAAGTTGGTAGTTCTTGGACTCTGCTTCTGCATTCAAAACCTTGCCGCTTCATTGTGGTTCTGTATTTAGGCGGCCTGATGTGCTCCCAAATAACTTTGTCAACTATTGTCACTATTACCGTCGGCAGTGTTTCAGTTCTGACTGGCTATATTAACCACATTTAGTATCAACCAAAAATTTGGGTAGTATCTAATTAGATAAATTTGTTTTGGGTTCCCACATCCCTTCATGAAGCTCTACTGATTCTTTCTGATTCTTTCTACATTTCAATTAGTTTAAGGCATGCTCATCATGGTTGGAAATCTTGAATGCTAAGAATTGTAAATGCAAAACTTGTTCGTGTCCATTTGCTATGAAATTTCAGTTTGGATAACTTGGCACGATCGTTTTATCTCAGGTTGATCTCTATTGTAAGATGTTTTATTTTATGAGCATAAGAAGCTTTACTTTTTTCTTTGCTTATTTTTATTTATTGGTAATTATTGTTATGGTTAGTGTATTTGAAACTTGTTCATGTTTTTCATGGAAAAGGATTGAATTAGTAGTTAGCAATGGCGTGCACTTCTAGACATGAAATGTTCCGGTGTGTTACTTTTCGTGGCATTAATGATTTCTCTCAACAAATAGCTTACACATGTTTGTTAACAGGCAAGGCATCTCTGCAGTAGATTTTGACAAGAAGGTAAGTACAAATTAATATCGAAATGTTTTAGTTGAAATGAGAATGTGCTTTAACTAAATGTTGTTGTGATGCTTCACAAGTAAAAAATCCATGCATTATACTAAAATAACATAAAGCATCTCATCCGGAGATATATATAAATTTAAATCGACCTAGCATTTGAATTAATGTCATAGTTTCTATGTTATGCTTATGCTAAAAAAAATTGATACATAAATTTTTGCGAAATTCTTTTAATCGAAAGCTTTGATAGAAGGTCTCCAAAAAAGAATCTCTAAATTAATCTATCCCGAGCTTGATTGGGCGCTTAATATGCATAATTTTTTGAATAATGGATCCATTTCTTGTTCCACTCTCCACGTGAATTCTCCACACCAGTGAATTTTTGAGTATCTTCTTGTTTACTGTGAGAAGTACACAAATTTGATTAACGTATTGTTTTTATAATCCCTTCGTCTTATTTTTTTTATTCCATTGCTTTGGTGATTTAAATATTCCATCCATGTTTTGAATTGTACTCAGGGAATATACTTGGTGTCCGTGACAAAATCGGGTTGCTTAACAGTTCATGACTTTGAAACACTTTATTGCCAGATACCTGAGTTAACTTGTAAGTTCTGTTTTGGTGGTTATGTTTTGCTTATTTTGAAAAGCTGCTGTGCTTGTCAAATTTGGGAGACTAGATAGATAATGTTTCATAGTCAATATTTAATTAAAGAATGATAAGAATTATTAAGAAAAGTCCTATAAATTTTCTTGCCAGACCAGCTTTTATGTCTGGCTAGATGTATGAAATTTTCCTTACTTATGTTCTTTTTTGAAAATCTAATAATATGGCATTATCTTTGTTACAGCCTTCCAACTGAGAATTTTTTTCTTCCAAATTTGTCCAACTTATTTTTATCTTGCAATGATTATATATTTTTAACATAAATAACTAATTTGGTTTTGATTTTACTTGTTTTTACTGCCTTATGTCTTTAGAATGGTAAGAAAAAAGTGCTTAACAACCTTTGATGCTGCGTGCTTCATATTGAAGTAGCCTTATATTTATTTTAGTCATAGGAGAGGATGGAACTTCATATGAAGTGTTGATTATCATTTCTACCTGCTTTTGTATTAATTTGATGATAGGCTTGCGAGAAGATGAAAACAAACATTTAATGCACCTCTCCCTAAATCGACAACTTGATGCTGTCAGATGGAATCCTCTTAATCAGGACGAGGTTTAATTAAATTGCCTTTTCACTCAGCATTTTACCATGGATTTTTATTAATCTTTCATTATTTCTAAATGATGTCCATGATATGTTCCATGTAAAATGTTTTGGTTTTATCTTTTGAAGTTCTGTATGTCGTAGCTTGTCTATTGTAAGTCAAGGATAATCTTGTGATGGTTTGACTATTTCAAATGAAGTTACCAGATTCATAAGTCCTTGTGCATGTTTTGTGAGACTGATGGTTTGTCGAATTCATTAGTAATAGCTTTATTTTTATAGACTATTCAATATTCTATTTGTACTGCTCTGTCTTACTATTTCATTTCAGGTTGTTTGTGCATCTGTCAAAAGTAATGAACTGCTCATATTCGATATTGGATATGTCTCATCCGACCCAGTTGAAGTAATTTCCGTTCTTATATGTTATCGTACTTGTTAAATGTTGTTTACGTTGACTTTATAGGACCAGCTCTTTTCTTCCCAAAATCTCAATGTTTCTACTATCTACTGTTGATATTTGGCACAACTCCAAATTCAGTTGATATGAATTTCTTTTTCCATTATTCCTTTATTGTTAAGCCTTGTCCAGTGTTCTGAAATTTTTCCAATTATTTATTAATTAAAATATATAAAGTACCTTTACCAAACTTCATCAAATCATTACCCCTAATAAGGTTAACCGGATTAATATCTTTTACCGATTTCTTTTGGAGGCATTATACAAAGAACCAGGAAGTGTAGATGCAAATGCCTTTTGGAGGCGACATATAGCATGAGATCTTCTATTTACTTTATCAAATCACACATTGTTCTTATAATTTAAAGTAAACTGCAAATTTCATCATAATTTTTTTTTGACTTTGTTTTATTTCCCAAAGAAGTATTTTTTGTCATAGGCAGCTATACAGATGTTTGCTTTTTTCTTCTTGGCTAACTAATTTTTGGTCCTTCAATTACTTAATACAGGTGTTAAGAACAAGACGTACAGCCACAGTTAATGGATCCACCTTGCACAAAGGTCTCTCTGATGTCACTTTTACGTCAAATGACACAAGGTTGGTAACGTACACCTAATTTAAAAGAATAATTGTTTGTCTGGAATAATGAAATTCCTAATACTGTGTCATCCATTCTTTTATTTATGACGTCTAAATATGTAATAGAAATATCTGTAAACAGAAAAAAAGAGAAAAGCATAAAAACTAAACTGCTGCGTTGGACAGACTCTTAGAATGTGTGATTATTTAACAACTCCTAAAATTTATATAGGTGGAGTTTGTAAACCAGTTTTTTTCTGTACTGTGAATCTGATAGGAACTGGAATTCGCTACAGGGATTAAAGCATAATTCAAAGAATAGAACTCTAATTATAGTAGGAAAATTGCAAGAAAGTACAGAAATATAACTGAAAGTATCAGAGAAGTGTGGTTTCTCTGCCCAACGACAACAGCAACCCTCGACTTCCTAAATGATTACGCCCCTTCTCTCTGTTTTATCCTTTCCTGGAAGTGTTTCCCCTTCTTTCTCACCTTTCTTGCCATGTAAGGAAGGCTATTACGGTCAAAATATTTCTTCTGTCCTTTATTCATCACCGGGCCTGGCGTATTAGTGCTGTGTAAAACTGTAATTAAACATAAGATAAATATTTTAAAAATGCATTCGGCCCAAGAAATGGGATATTTACAGTCATTTTACTAGTTAAAATCTGTATCTATTATCAGAAACTTCACCATGGGAACGTGCAATGTGCTAATATTTGATTTAAGGCTCAAACTTGACCAAACTCCTGGACTTGTGGGTGGTCGCTTTTTTTTTAATAAAAATGGAAGTACATATTTGTCCAAGAATATCAGATATCGGCTGGGACATGCTTAGATCCTGAAGGCTAGGCAAAGGTCCACCGTGAGGCTTTTATCTTCTGAAGCTTACAAGTCTCTTCCTGTTTTTCCACACACGAAAGTTATTTACCCATAATC